GCATCTAAAGCCAGCAGCAAGTTGAAAGTCTCACAATCTTTAGAAGACACTTGACTCTGAAAACAGTGAAACTTTCACTGAAATCGCACTAATTTCTGATTTTTGCCAACTTTCTAAACATTGGGATAGAAAATGAGCGGTTTCTATCAATTACACGCTTTGATTGGAAAAATCGTAATTTTGCATCTAACACATTCTTTAGAAGACACTTGTATCTGCAAACCCCCCCAAAAATGACTGAAACCCCCCGATCTTTAGCAACTTTCTAAATATTGCAATAAAGCAAGTAGCAACTTGCAATTTTCACTTTCCATAGAAAACACTTGAACCCTAAACCCCTGGAACGTTCATTCAAAGCAAACAAATTTCTGATTTTTCTGTGCTATTTCCTACACGGCGAGCCAAATCAATACCATAATTACTCCGTCCCTTTACATATTCAAGGAATGTGGATCGATATCAATTTGACTAAGCAACAATTGGCATCGTCGAGGGTGTGAAAATAGAAAAGCAACTTGAAAGCTCTGGAATTTATCGATTGCCTGGATAAATTACCTGCCAGCCGAGTGATGTAGTTCGATTAAAGTTGCGAACCATCAACATAATTACAACTAGAAGTTTCGGTTTAGCCAGCAATCCAATTTTTCATCGCTGTCCAGTTAATTAAAGAAAAAAAACGATTTTTTTGCCATCAAACAATAACTAATGAGTCAACGAAAAAATAACCGTAGATGAATCAGCGGCCCGAATAGAAAGCAAAATGGATGGAACCTGAAAGAGTAGCGGTAAAACTGCTGCACATTCAGTACCCATGCGGCATTTTTAATCGGTGCTACCAAATCGAACCGAAGACGAACAGAAAATATTAAGTAATCGCACTTTGCAGCACAAAGGGAAGTCTACAAGCCCGTACTGTAAAAGCTGAATTAATTATAGCAGCAAACTCATCAAAAAATATTTGACATACAAGTTTCACAATCTGGCTCGAAAGCTACGTCTACCCACATGTCGCTCTATGCAAATTTCGAATAACTTTTGGCTCCGAATGGCTCTAAAACGACATAGAGCAGGTTGCAGGGCGATATGCAATTCCACTCTGTTAGTTTTTATTAGCCGAATTTAATTATGTAGGTGGGCTCAGAGTTGAGGCCAATTGCCTCATGCTCTGCACCATTTTGTACGCAAGAATGCAACAAAAGACACATTTTTTTCGGTTTTGGGGGGTCACAATGTTTATTTCTACGTATGTGCATGCTGAGGGTGAAAGTCATTTGTTGCCATCACCAGGAAACTCGCCAGTTTCACTCCAAAGAAAACTGTCTACTCAATTTGCCCAAAATTTTTCATTGAAAAACACCTCAGACATGCAATTTGTGCATGATTATCAATAATAAAAGCAACTACAAAGTTGCAACAGACAATGGGGCACGTTTCCCACGTATTTATGAGTAAGAAACGGTTAATCCTGCTGCACATGGGATTATTGATGTTACTTATTTCCCCTATGTAAGCACATGGCTTGTTAACTGTAAATAATTGCAGGATTATTATAAATTTAATGTTAAGACCTGCATTTGCTGCACTGATTAAGCAAACGTATGTTTCATTAGTGAAATCGCCTTAGATTTAGTGGCTCAGAAGGGCTCCCATTTACATAGCGATAGCCAAATTAATTTCCACAACTATCTGCATAGAATATGTATATTATGGGGAAAATTTGCCCAATTGAACAGCCCATATGCGGAAATGGAATGTTTGATGTCAATTATATTCGAACCTCAACTGATTTCCGAACAGCTTTTTGCTAATAAAGTGTGTATTTCGTAATTAATGGCCAGAGTCATAAATCCATATTACCGTTAAATGGATGATTTAAGGCAGAACATTTGTAAAAGCATAAATAAAGCATAAATCAGCGTTAATAATATTGTTTTTTCATTTCTGGTTTAGCACAATTTGCCACTAAAACGACATTTAAGTACAAAATTGCTGAATAATTTCAGATGCTTCAATTGTCCTTTATAGATCCTGAAATTGTTGGCGATAGATTTTGATTAGAAGTTACGGTTTCTTAAAGGAGGGTGTGTAAGCAATTTTTGGCCAAAAATTTCAAATTGCTGCAATCTCAATGCAACTTTCAAGGTTTAT